CTCGTCACTGTGCAGGTGCAGCGAGGATTATTTTGCAGTCGGCATAGTGGACTCTCACCAAAGCTGTAGCTATTTTTAGCCCATCTAGAAATTACTATAATTCTGCCGTACAGCTAAAAACTGTCTGCTGTTATCAAGAGCAAGAAACCTCGAGCCACGGCTAACACGAACAGACCAATGAATGAGTCTGCTGTTCTAAAGCAGAAGTTTCTGTTCAAAAAGAAAAAAAAAAACAAAACAAAACCAAAACAAACAACAAAAAACCCCAAACTGTGGTTTCGAGGAGAAACCACGAGTTTTCTAACCATTTCTATTTCAGCGCGAACGTTAGGTTTATTAAGTACTCCGCTATCGGTACGATGCGCGATTAAGGACGGATTCCCTCCCTCCCCGCTGCACTTCCCAAACTGTTTGCACAATGAAGGCAGTATCGCGCTGGGCTGCCGCCGGGCAGCTGCGCCGGCCGAGGGCAGGACAGAGGGGCCACACAGCTCCGGGGCAGACAATTGCCCTCAGTGTACCAACAAAGCGGCACTATCGGAAGCGCAGGACCGTCTGAAAAGGCAGATTCCCCGCGTAGGAACGGCGGAGAGCTGCTCCAGCGCTGCTGGATTGAAAACGTGGTGGCACCGGGGAGGTAACGCCGCGGGCGCCGAGGGCGGCTGCCGGCCCGCTTCCACCGGGAACGTGCAACCCGCTGTGAAACCCACCCGCTTTTGTCCTTGCGCTGGAAAACAAAACGATTTAGGGAAGGGGGTTAAGTTTGGCTGGCCCCTCCGCTTTCATAAAGGCGTTTCCATCTTCCAGTTCCTACCCCTTTCCATTTTCTTCGGAGCCAATGGAAACCAATTGAACACCTTCATAAAAGACACACTCGGTGCCTTGGGTTTCATCTGTTTAAATCCTAGAAAATACGCTCCCAGAGTAAGCGCCAGCGGAACAGCTAACGTGGTCTGACTGCTGCCTTCCAGCGGAACCTGTTCCCGCTAATTTACGTAAGACATTAAAATAAATGGAAGCAAGTTGTACCCAACGGCCGCAGCTGGGCGAGTGGGTGCCTCACGAGGTCCGCGCCTGGAAGCCGGCGTTCCCCGTGAGGGAAGTTGAGCCGGCGCTGACTCAGGCTCATTTCCATCCTCAGCCCGAGAAGCCAAAGGGGGAAAAGAGGGGGCGCGGGGCTCCCCGGGCCGTGCCTGGCAGCAGCGACTGCTCCCGAGCCTCGGCTGACTCCAAACCACCTCGGTAACAAAGTTAACGAACTCACAGAGACATGGTGTAATTAAAAACCAAGAGTATGTTATAAGGCACAGACTTCTCCACGTCTCCTGGCGCTATCAGAACTGGTTTATAGCACATTCCTGAGATATTAAATTAATTCCTCTATTTGTAAAGTCCATTACGTCAAGCAGAGAACACACTACTCCCCCCGAAGACAGGGAGCCATGCTGGCTGCTGCGGATGAGAACCAGAAATTAAAAACCAAGGCAGCTGGGGAAAGCCTTGGCTCACCCAACGAAGCGGGCTGTCCTCCTCCAGCAACCGCGCGTCCGGCTGCTCACAGCACGCCGCCAGACGAGATTTTACAGGGGAAAAAAAAGGTCTAGAGGCACGAAAGGCAGCAGAGCTCCGCGCTGTCAACAGTTTTATTACAGGATCTCAAAGCGCTTTACAAACACCAGCGCCGAGCAGCACCGTGAGGTACACACCGGAGAACAAAGCGGAGGGGCCGGTGGCGTCGCCGGGGCAGACGCGCGGCAGCAGGAACGCGGAGCAGCAGGTCGTCGGCGACCTCGCCTCTCTCCCTTCGGTGCGGAAAGCCAAAACGAGAGAAAGGACTCCAGTGTTGCTCCGTTCCCTTCCATTTTCCAAGCGAAATGAAAACGCAGCGTTTCCACTGAACGGGGAGGATCAGCAGCCTTCTTGCAGAGGTGCGATGCCCATCGGGTCTTTATGAACTCGACATCCGGAGCTTTGCGCGAAGGTGCAGAGAAACACCGCTGTTACCACCTCCTCCTCGGCAGAGTTCGGCGCCCTCCCGCGCTCCCCCCCCGAGGAGGAACAGCCTTTCTGCGGGGTGACGTTTGCTACAGCTGCAAACCACTTGGAGACAATCTCCGAAGCGAACAATTGTCAAGTATTTCCCGCTCACGTAGCTCAGCGGCACGCGACAGAACCGGGAGCCGAGGCGTCGCCCCTCTCCGTGCACATCCCTCACCTGCCAGCTCTCCGTTGCCAGGACCACGCCTGACGTTTTCAAAGCCCTCCTGCACCTCGACCGTTACATCTTGTACTTCCATAGCTTGAAGTCACCTGAACCACCCCTTAATTAGCGCTCCGGCATGTTAATTAGCTCCTTATGAACTTGCTTAGAACCACTGGCCTGGACTCCCTGGGTCAGAACCCGCTCTCGTATTTCAAAGCGGGGACTGTAACCCCCTTTCGCCAGGGTCCCGGCCTCCTTCGCTCTTCCTCCCCTGTGAAGCTCGCTTTCTTCCCCAACGCCACGCAGCCAGAGAGCAATCCTCCCCAAACGCCACTTCGGTTCAGTCACACCAAACTCCTCACGTTTCCTTTTGTGAAAGAAAAGGTTTTGCCTCCCTGAGCACACTCATAACCCAACTGTAAAACCGCTCCCGCCTCACCTTTCTTCCACACAGGTGACAGAACCCATCAACGCCCACAAGGGTTTGGGGTTTTTTGGGCCAAACTTCCCCTTTCAACAGCAGGCACCTACGTGCCGCCAAGCACGCGCCGCTCGCTCCGCTCCCTTGTTTCCCACCCCCGACTACAACCTCCGCTGGCAAGAGCCACCCCACCTTCGCGCTCCCCCAACTCACCCCGCTCACCTCTACCCTTCTCCTTTTCCTCCCACCTGGCATCGCCCCACTCGAGCACCTAGGGCAAGTCCGTTGTCCGTAACAGCTTTCACCTTCTCCCCCCAATACAGCGCTTTCGCTATCAGAATTTCATAACTTTTGGAAAAAAGTACATCTCGCGTACACACCTTCGGCAATACAGCATTGCTGCAGGGAAACAACGTTCTGTACCAACCTACTGCCTGCCACCGCCGCACACGGCACCCTTCACGGTGTTACGCGCACCAGGCTTAAAACCCAAATCTGCTAATCCTGCCCCAAACGCAAATCCCGGTTTACAATAAAGCAACCCTCCTGCCCGCTCCCTACGGGCCGCTCCGTTTCCCTGCCATACCGAAGCAGGCGGCAGTCCCTCCTTTCTGAAAAGCCAAGCGCGCGCTCTTTACGCAGTACCCTACTTAAACATTAACGCGATCGCCGCCTGCGCTGCGCTCCCTAGGACACTTCTATAAACCGGCAGTTCTGTTGGGCGGGAAGAGACGCCTTTCTGCTCCGCGCCGACTTCGCTCTTTAATTCACTGTAAATTAAAGATCTTCACACCTAAGCACTGTCGCTTCATCAGACAACCGAAGGAATACGCACGCACTTCCCACAAAGCCATGCCAATATTCCCCTAGGGAAGGGGTGGCGTTCCCAGCCCGGCCTCGAGCTGCGCACGCCGCAGGGGCGCGATTACCCTGCGCCTACGCCAGCGACAACGGCTCAGCAACCTGCCGCAGGAACCGGCTCCTCCGCAGCCTCGCTCGCCTCCTGCGTGCCGACACTCGAGCCTGCAGGCACCGCCGAGGTTTGCACACACGCTTCTACCCGTATTTATTTCCAAGAGGATTGCGGGGGGAGCGCTGAGCCCGATTAATCTCATGTTTTTCCCCTTTGTGATCCCTTTAGAAGGGTATCGTTAGCAACAACATTAATACTAAAGCATCCGCTTTTAAGCGGTGAGAATTCTCTTTTCCCCTACTCGTATAATAAATTCCACCCATTTCCCAGGGAACCGATCCTTTATTTAGGAGAAGCTCAAACATCAACGCTTCCTGTGAAACACTACAGCTCTGTTGAGCACAAAAGCCTTTTGTCTGAAAACTTGCGATTTCACAATGCTACAGTGGCAAGCAAAGACTAAGACCCTTAGCAACAAATGATGACAGCCATGCATGTTTTTTTAAAAATTTTATTTGTCAAAGAAAAAAAGGCAATAGCCAATTGAAAACCTACTTAATCTTTAACTCCAATTTTTGTCTTTAAATTTAGCGAAATGACTTATTGGTTTACTTTTTTTTTTTTTGTTAAACAAACCCCCCTTTTTCCCCTTTAACGTTTACCATCTACTCGTGCTGAATCCTTCCAAGGAGATTGCTCCAGCGTACCTCTCCAGGTCCTCGCTTTGCTCCTTTTACCAAAAAAATGAAAAACTCCATCGTGCATCTTAAGGGCTCCAATCGTCAAAAATAGGAAAAAAAAAAAAATCTTTGGAATAGCCAATTGAGTTGAATAAAAAAAATCCACACGAATGCGGTTTGGTTGGGGCAGGAATCCACTCCTATGTTCCTGGTAATTTGATCCCGCTCCATGAATCCTTGTAATTCAGCCTCCCTATCCTATCCACATTATGATTTGAATCCAATGATCCAGCTCCAAGGATTGGGATCCAGTGAGCCCTCTCCAATCCAAACCTTTATAACCAGCAAAACCAAAAAAGAGGAGGCAAAAAGTTAGATACTGTAATGAAAAAATAGGATTCTGGGGAATGATCAGTTATGTTTGCCATCAATTAATACAGATGTACATTAATAACTATCAATTCCCCAAAACAAACTTTTGAATGGTGATGCTCAGATACTTTTTAGAAATGTTAATTACTATTTGGAGGAAACATCGTAATATTTACAATATGTCAACTGAAAATGCCAACAAACTCATTGCTCGTACGGTGGTGCACTACAGGTTTTGTGGTTGCAAAAAATGTTTATGAAACTGGAAAAGCTTACTGCTAAAGCTATCCACCTACTGTATGTCTAAACTATAGCTAGCACTCCCAGCTGGAAGGTAACAAAATTAACTAACTGGAGTTTTCAAACATATTGGTGAGTCAATTGTGAATTAGTCTGAGGGGGCAGGGCTGAGACTTACGAAATTATTCCCAACTAGGTTTTCTATTTTTGCTTTCATTCTGATACTTAAAAAAAATGAAATAGCAACGCTGTATCAGTCACACAGAGGACATGCAGATTTTAGCAGTATTGATATTATACTCTGATTTAAAGATACCCTTGATCTACTACAAGTGTACGAATACTACGTAACATTAACACTTGTAACCAAATGCTGCATGACGAAGTAAACCAATACTCCCGCCCCCGTCCCAGTTTATTCCTTTAAAAAACTAGAATGGAATAGAGAATTACAAAAGCAAGTATTTAGCACAATTGCCCCCCAAAAAAAAGTTTTAAAGAAAAGAGCAATTGTAGTCTGCGGTAACTAGAACATGCCTGAAGCGACACGTAGGTGCACGTACTCAATTAACCTGTCTCTCAGTATAAGGTCAATACTGCCAAGTTCATCTGTGACAATAGCACTTGGAGTCATACCATTGCCTCCATTATTGATCTGATCCTCCTCAATCCTCCTTTTGACAATCCTAAAATGATTGACATGTGCTCCACAATCCTTTAATCCAAAGCATTCTTAATCCATCTCTTCAGATATGTCTACAGAAAGACACACGAAAAGGCAAGATAAAATATAAGATCCCCCAGAAGAGACAAGTTAGCCACAAACATCCCAACATCCCCAGCTCGTATAAACCATAGCTGAACACTGAGACATTTACACAGCAATACCACAGTTCGGAGAATGTTGGTATTTAACTAGAACTAAATCGAAACAATCCTGACTGACATCAATTAAAATACAATTTACCAAAGACATGAGGGGAATGTTGATGTTAAGGAGCAAATACTCACTAGGGATTTTACACAAGAATGCAATTCAACACTTCAGCCAATTTGAATAAAACAGTTTGAATTAAAAAAAAAAATGAAAGACTGTACTAAGTAAAGGAAAACTGTGTACAACATGGGGTTCTACAAAAAGATCAGAGCTAGTGATCATTTATGTACGAGATCGGGATCTGCTGTGGCGGGGAGAGTAGCGTGGAGATCCTCTGCTTCTTCTTGGGGAATAACTGCGGCTTCTGCTGTTGCTTCGACTACGGCTTCTGCTACGACTACGGCTGCGTGACCGAGATCTTCCATAGCTTGGACTTCTTGGGCCATCAACTTTAACACGGATGTAGGCAGTTTCTCCCTATTGAATAGACAGAACTTTCGATTGAAAAGTCTAGGCTTTAGGGCCATCTTTTTAGGCATGCTGACAGACCGAAGATATCGTTTACTACGGCACAGAAATAGACGCCAAAGCTTTAAAGTCTATCTCCTGACAAACTGACCACAGACTTATTTAGCTGCTTTGTACGTAAACAGTGAACACCACACGTTCCTTACCTTCGCATCCTACTGTTAAGCCCCTTGTATCCAATTCTGGCCAAAGAAAGTAAGTATGAAACCTACCTCATGAGATCTAAATTTAGTGTTATCCAGTTTTCGCACAGCGTAGGTCATATCTTCCTTCCGTACAAACTCCACGACACCAGTGCCATCTCGGAAAACATCAGCATAACATACATCACCTGCTTCACGCATGTGATCCTTTAAATCCTGCCAACTTCCACTTGGAGGCAGCCCTATATAAAAAGCAAGACGTTACTTTAAAACCGGATTACATCCTCCTGTAGTTGCACAGCGTCACCTCGCAGCAAACAAAAGAGACTGTTGAGCAAGCAGACGGGCTGCCTCGAGGAGCTGCCAGCACCGTACGGGCAGCGCTTCTCCCCGGCTACGCGAGGCGATGCTTTTTAAGGAACGACTTGGAGCCGCATCGCCCCTCGCTGGGAAGCTTGCCTGGAGGAGCCCGGGGGAGCACTTGGGCTAAGAAAGAGGAATGACTCACCCGAGACGATCACTCTGTACTCCGAGCGCCGGGACGGGGGGCCGTACCTGCCCCGAGGGGCTCCGCCTCCTCCGCCGCCGCCGCCGCCTCTGCCGGTGTCCCGGCCGCTCCGAGGGAACTCCACGCGGA